CACATCTACATGTCACCACAGTAGGACAAACTGACAGACAAGTTTGTCCTGCTGTTGGAGACCTCTCGTATCCCCCCCACCTGGGTCCCTGTGGCTGACTGTTCCTCTGTCTGGCTTCCTGTCTTTTAATCCCCTATAGTGGCCCTATAGGACATTTATGGTCTTGGAACACTTTGTGGCCTTAGCAAAAATGATTTATTAGTGGCTATCATGGACTAGGGATGTGGCATGCATTCTTTTTCTCTCACTTTATAAAACCAATGTGACAGTGACAGCTTTAGAGTATCAGATATTCAAATCATTTTTCCATACCTATTTTGGGTGAATTAAGAGATAATGTAGGGAACTCTAGTGGCATAGTGCTTAAGGCATTTGTAGACCTAGAAAACATATTCACTTAATTGTATGGCAGACTGATTCTTTATTTAGAAAGTAATTACCTATGTTTTTTTATAACATTTCCTTTCTTAATTTTCCTCTGCATCACAGTAAAGGGACCTTTTGGAAAAGCCACTATAAGAACTTGAAATTAACAAATGACATTTGCATTTTAATGTGTCCTGATTTATATTTTTAAATATGTGTTTTATAGGCTTGCCATATCCCAAACAAACACCTCTTTTCCCTAAATGCAAGAGAGCGAGGATGTTTCTCTCTGACTTTCTCCCATAACGGAAGAGTATTAGCAGCAGCCTGTGCCAGCAGGGATGGCTATCCAGTTATCTGTAAGTGTCAGTCCTGTCTGTTCAATGCCATTGCCATCTATGTGGAACACATTCTTTGGTTTTTAAAGTCCATTGCGATCTTAATTTGAGTCAGCCTCAGACCTACTGAATTAAAGGACATAGATTGATTAAAGTCAAGTAACAGTTTTTTTATTCTAATGTTGTATTTGTACTGTAGCATTTCCGAAATGTTCAAATGAAGGGTGCTAAATTTATTAACATGATGGAACATTTTTATATAAGCGTTTCTGTTTTAAATACTAAAATTTAGGCATGTGAAGGATTAATAAATTTCATGGGGATTATTAGTCCGATGTGGTCAGTTGATTTCAGTGGTAATTTGGATTAGAAAACCCACAGATTCGTTAGGTGGCAGAACACTGGGATATTTATTGGCTTAGGAGTTGGGTAAAGAAGTCAGTAGAGAAAGGAAAACCCCCTCTCTCAACTTGCCTTTGAAAAATACAGGAAACTTATGTTACAAAGAATTGTTTCTGTCACTTTAGGGTTTTTTTTTGTTTGTTTGTTTAAATGTGCATTGACATGCTCTTCTGGAATAGAAGCATTACTCACCCTTACTTTTTGCTCAGTAATGAAAACCAACTCAGGTCAGAAAGAATAACCAGATCTTCATGGACATCTGCCCTGAACAGGCAATTGTATTGAACTTTCCTCAGCTTCACACAACTTGTTATTCTTTGGCTAATTCACTTTTTGAATTTCAGTGGAAACTCTTTTGACTCAATTGACTTGATTGCCATCTAGTAAATAAATATGCCTCCTCCTGAAGTAATGATAGCTTTAAAAATACATACTGAGTTCTTTGTGTAGTTTGATTACAACTATAATATTTTAAAGATTCACCAAAATCCATGCATAGGGAAAAAAAAAAAATCTTAAGAAATAAGCCCCAAAATATGAATAATGGTATCTTTATTCATGTAAGTATGAATAAATGGTAGAAGAATTATTTTCATTCTATTTTCCATATTTTCTGTGATTAATGTGTTACTTTATGATCAACAAAAATAAGCTTGTTCAAAATGCTAAATAGATTTAGATACACTTATGATTTAAATCACAAGCAATAAAATAGAATATAAATTCATGAAACTTGTTGGGTGGCTATCCAATAAATTTACTTGTGTTACCTTGTTACTAGTGTTAAAAACAAAAAAAACAGGAGCTCTGTGGTGCAGTGTTTGAGGCATTCGCCTGGGAACCAAAAAGTCAGTAGTTTGAACCCACCACCCGCTCCGTGGGAGAAAGATGATAGTCTGCTTCCATAATGATTTATAGCCTCGGAAACCTGGTAGGGTTGCTATGAACTGGGATCAACTCGATGGCACTGAGTTGAGTGAGTGTTTAAGAAAAAAGAATTGCACTATAATCACTGTGATGCTATACTTTATGGTAGCAAATTTACTCTCCCAAGTATGTATTGGCTAATAGCAAGGAGCCCTGGTATCACAGTAGTTAAAGCATTTGGCTGCTAACCAAACGTTCAGCAGTTTGAACCCACTAGTTGCTCTATGGGAGAAAGATGTGAGGCAGTCTGCTTCTGTAAAGATTTATGCCTCAGAAATGCTATGGGCAGTTCCATTCTGTCCTATAGGGTCACTATGAGTTGGAATTGGGGGGACGGGGGTTGGGCAGGATTTTATTTGCTAGGGTTTTGTTGGAGATTTTTACGTCTACATGTATAAGGGATACTGATTCGTAATTGTGTTTTTTGTGACATCTTGGTTTGGGTATCAGATAGAATGAGTTGGGAAGTGTTCCCTTCTCGTCTACATTTTTTGGCAATTATTTATAAAGAATCAATATGAATTATTTAAACATTCAGTAGAATTCGCTGGTGAAGCCATCTGACCTGGGCTCTTCTTTTGGAAAATTTTTTATTACTAAGTTAGTCTCTTTGTCATAGTTCTATTTAGATTTACTATTTCTCATTGAGTACTTTTGGTAGTTAGTGTCTTTCTAAAAATTTGTCCATTTCTTCTAGGCTATCTAATTGTTGGCATATGGTTGTTCATAATGCCAAAACCAGAAGCCAAACCCTTTGCCATCGAGTTGGTTCCGACTTATTACTGCCCCATAAGGTTTCCAGGGGTATAATCTTTACAGAATCAAACTGCCTCATCTTTCTCCTGTAGAGCAGCTGGTGGTTTCAAGCCACTGACCTTTAAGTTAGCAGCTGAGCACATAACCATTATGTCATCAGGGCCCCTTATTGTTCATAATAACACAAAACCCACTGCCATCAAGTTGATTCTGACTCATAGTTACCCCCACTGGGTTTCCAAGGCTATAAATCTTTACAGAAGTAGATTGCTTCATCTTCCTTCCACAGAGCAGCTGATGGATTTGAACTGCCGACATTCTGGTTAGCAGCCAGATGCCTTACCCACTATACCACCAGCAAGTTAATGCAATTTTTTTTTTAACACTAGTAACAAGGTAACACTAGTAAATTTATAAAATTAAAATTTAAAATTATTAAAATTTAATAAATGTTATTTATTTAATGAGAGTTGTTAATATAAAACCCAAATCTACTGCCATTGATTCGATTCTAACTCATAGCAACCCCAATCGAGTTTCTGAGGTGGTAAATCTTTACAGAAGTAGGTTGGCCCTATCATCCTTCTGCAGAGTGGCTGGTGAGTTTGAACCACCAACTTTCTGGTTAGCAGTCCAATTCCTTAGGCACTGTGCCAAATAGTCCCTTATAATCCTTTTTATTTTGATAAAGTTATCATTGATGCTTACTCTTTCATTCTTGGTATTCGTAAATTTGAGTCTTCTCTCTTTTATTCTTGGTCAGTGTAGCTAAAAGTTTGTCAGTTTATCGTAAACATTTTTCTTTTTTTATTCTAGATATCTCTCATTTTCACTCTAATCTTATTTCTTTTGCTGAATTTGGATTTATTTACTTATTTATTTTCCCCTTAGTATCTTAAAGTTGAAAGGCAGGAAAAGTATGTGAGGTGTTTCTTCTTTTTTAATAGAGGCATTTACAACAGATCTTCAGAAGTCCTTAATTGCTATCTGAAGGTGCTTCTAGAATGCTTAGTATTTTAAAGGAAAACTATTTCACCACTAGGAGCTCTGGTAGCGTAGTGCCTAAGGCACTTAACTGCTAACCAGAAGTCTGGCAGTTCAAACCCACCAGCCACTCCTTGGAAGGAAGATGGGGCAATCCACTTAACTGCTAACCAGAAGTCTGGCGGTTCAAACCTACCAGCCACTCCTCGGAAGGAAGATGGGGCAATCTACTTCCATAGTGATACTGCCTCAGAAACCCAAGGAGGGGTCGCTGTAGTCCGACTCGATGGCATATAACAACAACATTTCACCACTAGGTGGGAGTAAAGACCTGTAAACTTTGTAGGTCTATATTACAGTTTTCTTAGATCTCATTGTATTTGTAACATTGAGTAATAATACCATAGTGCTTTGTCTGTCAAATTCTGTATCTTTTGATTCACTTAATACCTGTAGTTTCAATATTACATTTTTTTCTTGGAAGTCCTACAATTTAAATTTCTCATTATTTAACATTTAAACTTTTGATTGAAATTTAATTGGCTTTCAGATAAAATAAAACAGTAAAACTTGTAAAAGCTAGAACTTGTGTAAGGCAGAAATCTGTTAGAGAACGTGAACTCAGGTATTTTCCGTTAAAACAGGCATTAGGGAAGCAGTTAGACTGTGTCCTCTCAAAGGCAGAGAACTCGTAAGAATCAGAAAAACAAGGTACTCCTATCGAGTTCCAGGTCTCACAGGTTTCAGTGTATTTTAATCATGAAAGCTAAGTGCAAAGCCCAAATTATAGAATATTTCAAGTTAATGCAATTTTAAATATTTATTCTTTGATGAATACCTTGACTATGGCAGATTCATAGGAGAATTACTTTGATGAGATGAGAATAATTTTTAGTTACAGCATATTATAAAATTTTTTGTGTGCAGATTCCTGCATCTAAAGTATATGAAAAAAAAATTCTTAGGTAGATTCTGAAATTTTGATTGTACTACATTATCTTTGATGGTAATTTTCTTATAGATAACTCTCATCTTACGTCCAAGTTAGTGTAAATTAAGATTTTGTGTATTGTTGCATTAAGAATTATCTGGAACCCTACTAATTTCTAAGTGTTTTCATTAGTATACGAAATCCCTTCTGGACGCTTCATGAGGGAATTGTGTGGCCATCTCAATATCATTTATGATCTTTGCTGGTCAAACGATGATCGCTATATCCTTACTGCGTCATCTGATGGCACTGCCAGGTTAGTATACTTCAGAATTGCTTATCGTGTACTGTTGCCATCAAGAAAAGCAAAGAGAAGATAAATTGAGTGTCCTTAACTTTAGTCACGTTTTACATATCAAAGCATTGTCTACATACGCATCATACAGACTGACTGATTATGTAAGCAGTTATGAAAAATTTTCTTGAATATACTTTTCTTAAATATATTTTATATATGTAATGTATAACATTTCTAGTCCTTGGTGTCTTTGCATTCTTGTTACATAAACTGCTTTGTCAATGCTTTGTGATGAAGTTATCAATCACATAACACAAAACAAAACAAAAAAACTCACTGCCATGAGCCAATTCTGACTCATAGTGAGCTCCGCTGGGTTTCCAAAGCAGTAAATCTTTATGGAAGTAGATTGCCCCATCTTCCTTCCATGGAGTGGCTGGTGGGATTGAACCACCAACCTCCTGGTTAGCAGTCAGATGCCTTAAGCATCCTATCCACCAGAGCGCCTTATCAATAACATAACTGAAGTTTTTTTCTAGAACATAAGCTCTTTGGCAGCATGAATTCTGCCCTCATTGGTAGCTTGATGCAGAAGCTGGAGCACAGTGTCCCTCAGTACTTAGCTGAAGGGTAAATAAATGACCATTGCATATTATGGTTTGAGAGCTTTATAGATTGTTGAATATTTGCATTTTCAGAATATTAGTATTAAAATAATTATTGTTGTTGTTGTTATGTGCCATCGAGTCGGCCCCGACTCATAGCGACCCCTCCTTGGGTTTCCGAGGCAGTATCACTACGGAAGTAGGATTGCCCAACCTTCCTTCCGAGGAGTGGTTGGTGTTAAAATAATTAAGTCTCTTAATTTAGAAGTTTTATAATAAAACATTTGAAAAGTTACTTCTTAAAATTTCATTTATACTCTTTTAGCTGCTTATTCTACCTTGTATGTGTTCTGAAAATACTGTAGACAGTTCTTCACAATGCTTTTTTATTTGCCACTTAATTTGATTCTAAAAATTCTTAGGTATACACACACCGTTCTCTCTGCAGAGTAGGAAACTGGCACTTAGAGCAGGTGGACATCCTCTCTAACTTCACTCTCATTTACTCCATCTGCTTCCTGCTCTTTTGACATGTGAAGACTTCTAGTGTCTGGACCTCTTTTTCAATTTTTCTCAGCCCTTTTCTCATTTTGAAATGTCTGGTTGATCGTGATGTTATTGCTTTTTAGTTCATATTTAAATGAAAAAGATGGCACTTAGTTCACTTCCCTGTCTATCCAGCTGCAGACTTACTGTTAATCACTTCTAAACAGAATCCTCAAGAGCCTGGCTGCTGGGTTGGTTCTTCCAGTACAACCGTCCTGTCATATGCAGGCAATGCTAGAGAAATACACATGGCCTGATTACAGACATGTGAGTCTCAAAGTCACCTGAGCTCTCCTCTCTGCTGAGCATTCCTTTTACTTACCTTTCATCAGTTTCTTTTTCTCATTCCACTGGCAGCATGTCTAAACCTTACCAACCATCAAGTCCTCTATACCAAATCCCAGTTGTGCTGCTTTCATTAGATTGCTACCTTCATGTAATCTAGCCAGACATGGATTTCCTGTGTTTTCCTCCTAATGTTTATTTCAACCATCTTTGTCTCTGTCTACTTCTCTTAATTAAGAAGCATGGAGACTCCTTTACGGCTAAGCTTTGACCTGAGCCTTGACACAGCCCCTTCCCTTATAAAATTCTGTGACATCTATTATGTCCTACCCCTCTTACTTCCTCAATATCTTTCTTTCTGTTGGCCTTTCCCCCTCATCTTAGAAACATACTCAAATCTCTCTTTCTTAAAAAATGTTTTTTTCCTACTTTCCCTGCCTTTCAGGCAACCACATTTTATTCCTTTTTCTAATATCAGGAACATTCCATAACATCGTTTCTACTTCCACCCAGTGAGTCTGGCTTTCACTGTCACCATGCTGTGTGGACTACTTTCTTCAAGAGGTCAGCAATTTCTATTTTCAAATTCATTGGCCAGCTTTAGTCCTTATTCTGTTTGCCTTCATTGCAGTAATTTATTTTTGCCCTATCTTTCAATCCATAATCTATGTTGTCATGAATTCCCTTGTTTCCCTCTTATGACTAGGGCCACTCTTATTTATGTTCTTTCTCTACTTCCTTTTCCTCTGCTTATTCTCTATACATGTGAATGCATAGGACCCTTTACTTGACAGACGTCTGGATTTGTATCCTTTCCACTGTTTCTCTTATTTTCTTCCCTGACTTTGAATCTTACTTAATTACTTCCAGTTTCCACCTCTTTTCTGAGTTTCTATTATACATTTCCACCTAGATGCTCAGGATACTCAAATCTAAAACCAAACTTATCGACTGCCCCAAATGTTTCCTCCTTTAGTCCTCTTATAATATGTGTGTGTGTGCGTGCACATGTGTGTATACAGTCATGCACCATATAACTTCCATTCAGACAATGTCTGACCCCAGATATATCCGTGGTCCCATAAGATTATAATAGAGTTTAGAAATACTGATCAGAGAATGGGACTTAGGGAGTTCAACAGCTTCCCACATGCAACACAATATCGCATGTCTCCTGTATACAGAGAGATTGTGCTGCCAAGGCATATAATGATATAGTCTGTATATAACCTAAAATACATGTTTTCATAGTCATAATAAATACCTGTTATTGGCTTATGTATGTACTCTACTGTACTTTCTTCTAAAAAGTTTGCTTTATAATAGTGTATGCTTCAACTTAGGCAGCAGCACCCAATCTCATGTCCTGTGCTTCTCTTGAATGTTTGTAGCATTGTCTGTTTAATTTTCTTTCAAAAATATTACATGAGTTACATGATGGCTCCCCAACACAACAAAACCACTGCTAGTGATAGCACACTATCAGCCACAGGGAAATAGATTTGCTCAGTCTTCCTTCTAAGGAGTGGGTGAGTGAGTAAACAACACAAAGGTGGAAAATAAGTGAAGCTGTTGTTCACAATTTAGGAACATCACATTCAACAGGTCATGATCTTCAGAGAAAACAGTCTTGGCTCCATTGAAGGCTACAAGATTAATAAAATGTGTGAGGGAACTGTATCACCCGTGAAGAAATGTCTAATGATGTGGAGTGAGGAGCAAACACAGAAGCTGATCCCTCAGCATGCTGATGATCTCTGCCAAGGCACAAAGCTTACTCAGAATGAAAAGCAGGACCAGACTACACTATGGTGTATGCACAATGTTCAAATCCCATAATAACCTATTTCATAGAATGTATTGTAGACTTGGATCCACAATCAATGCCAATGGAGGCAGCAGTCAAGAAATCAAATAACGGATGGCAATGGGCAAATATGCTGCAAATGACCTCTTTAAAATGTTAAAGAGCAAATATGTCACTTTGAGAACTAAGATGTGCCTCCTCCAAGCCATGATATTTTCAGTTGCCTCATATGCATGTGAAAGCCAGACAATGAATAAGGAAGGCCAAAGAAGAATTGATGCTTTGAATTATGGTGTTGTCACAGAATATTGAATGTACCATGGCCTGCCAGAAGAATGGACAAATCTGTCTTGGAAGAAGTACAGTTGAAGTGCTCCTTAGAAGCAGGGACAGTGAGACCATCTCCTGTACTTTGTTCGTGTTACCAGGAGGGGCCAGCCCCTGGAGAAGGACATCATGCTCAGTAAAGTGGAGGGTCAGCAACAAAGAAGACCCTCAACAGGATGAAATGGCACAATGGCTGTAACAGTGAACCCAAGCATAGGAACAATTGTGAGAATGACACAGGACTGGGCAGGATTTCCTTCTGTTGCACACGTGATTGCTGTGAGTCGGAACTGACTCGGGCATCTAACAGCAGCACCATGGCTATTAAGTAATGCTTTTGTAATGTCATTCTAATCCACTCTGTCTCCCAAGCTGGGAACTTAGAGCAATGTTCTTGTCTTCCCATTTTCCCAACATTCCTTCCCACATCTAACTAGCTCTGGAGCCAGTCAATTCTCCCTTCTAAGACTCACCATTTGATCACACTCTCTCCTGCTGGTGCCTTAGTATCTCTTGCTAAAACGTTGGTACTAAACTTTCACAATGTTTGATCTCTACCTCCTCCCTCTCTGCTATGCCTCAATTACCTTTCCAAAACCATCTTTCATAGTGCTTTGATTAGAAAAATTGTTTGATTACCCACTGCCCATTGGAAAGTATCCCAGTTCCTTAGCATGGCTTAACAGGGGTGACCCTCATTGACCTCACCTCCTTTGCAGCTTTGTGCTTCCCTGGTACCCCTTCCTCTTCCACACAATCTTTTGAAACACCTTTCAGCATCTTACCTTCGTGAGCATCTCTGTACTGTTTTGCTTACCCTTCCAATGCTGCTTCTACCCTTCCTAACTCACTCATTCAACACATGTTAAGTGCCTTTTTTGAGCTATAGTGTGTTCCTAGCCATCTTTTTAAATCGAGCTCAGATTTTACTATTTCTTGAAGCCACCTTGGATTTCCCAATAAAACATACCCATTATAATATATGAGCTCTGGTGGCATAGTGCCTAAGGCACTTGATTGCTAACCAAACTATTGGTAGTTCAAACCTACCAGCCACTCCTCAGAAAGAAGGTTGGGCAATCTACTTCTGTAGTGATACCACCTTGAAAACCCAAGAAGGGGTCCCTGTGAGTTGGATCTGACTTCACAGCAGTGCATACAGTAAGCTTACATTTTTCTTATGTAGCTTTGTAATTTATATTAAGATCTATTACATCATTAAAAAAATACCAGAGTTAAAGCATTAACTGAGTAAACAGTGAAGAATTGTTGCTAGCACCAAAAAAGGAATGAGATTTTAAAACAGAAAGAATACTTGTAATGAATCAACCAAAGTCAGAAGAAAACAGTCTGCCCAAAGGTGACAGGAGTGTGAATTCCTGCTCATGTTTTCATCTCTGTCTGTCTTCCTCAGGATCACTGTCACGTGTTTTTCAGTGTCATCTAGTAACTGTTTCCTACTCATTAGCTCCCTGCCCCGTGGATTTAGCCTAAATCCCCTTCCTGGTCATTGTTAGGATGATCTGTGTTTTTCTCAGGTCAGCAGCTCCTAATAGAATCAGAAAGGTTTGCCATGTGTACTGGCTCCCAAATCGGCCATGTGACTGATGGAGGTGTACTTCCTGTTTATAAATACTGTTGTAAATTTGGTCTGTGTTTTGGATATGTTTTAGTTTTTTTCTTTCCTAGTTTTCATAATTGTGTGTGTGTGTGTGTGTGTGTTCCTCTAGTCCTTACAGGTTTATGTTTCCTTATAGTCTTCACTGTCTGTGATCAACCTGCTTTTTCCCTAAACTCATTAATGTATTCCTTAGGAGTTTGGAGGCACTCTGGTGGCATAGTAGTTAAGGGCATTCAGCTGCTAACCAAAAGGTCAGTGGTTTGAACCAACCAGCTGCTCCACAGGAGAGAGATGAGACAGTCTGCTTCCATAAAAATTTACAGCCTTGGAAACCCCAAGGAGGCAGTTCTACTCTATCCTTTAGGGTGGCTGTAAGTCAGAATCACCTTTGGCAGTGGGTTTGGTTTTGATTTTGGGAGGATCTTGGATCCTATCAGGGCTTGGATGACTAAAGCTATCATTGATACCAGTTTAATTTTTATACCAAAAACTTCAGTTTGATTAAAAAATATTAAGTTTATTTTAATCACATTAACAAATTTTGAAGATATGGTTGCTTCATTTTTACCTGTCATGCAGTATACCAAATATGCTGCTAAGTTTTATTAGCAAGCAGCTGAAATTTTTAACTTTTTAATATCTTCTTTATAGTCTCTCTAAATTCGTGATTTTTTTTTCTTTCTAGTCAGTACCATATTTTATGTAGCATATGTTCATTGAAAGTGTTACATGGTGAGAATGTTTGTGCAGTGACACACGTGCTTTTTTACATGAAAACATGGTCTTTCACTTCCCTCATTATTAGTTTGGATTCTTAGTAATTAAAGACCATATCCTGTATTTTAAGCAGCTGCTGAGAAAACTCATAGAATGCTGTTCTTTATTAGCAACTGTGGTTTATTTCTGTCTTTTATTGATAATTTTGAAAAGGCATTAAGTTGCTGTAGTTCTTAGTAAATAAAAGGATGAATTCTAAAGCACTTCCTCATGTTAAACATTAATGTATTCTTCTCGTTATAACAGTTTAACCAAACATTTTTTTTAAATCAGATATTTCATTCATATAACACCTGTCTATTGCTAGAATTTGCTTGTTTGTATACATTGACTGGAAATGCTAAGTATCCAAAAGAGCTGTTTAACCCTTAGAGTTTACTGTTGTGTCAAGATTGTACAAGTTACAATAACCTTAATTAAAAAAAAAAAAAAAAATCAGCCATTACTAGAGAAAGAGATGTGAGAGTGTTAAATTTAATAGAAAAGTTCAGTGTATGATAGTTTGTTTTCTATCATCTTACAATTATTTGAATCTTACTTTACTTGAGAATGCATATAGACATTCAAGTGGCTTTTAAGCCTTTGAGATCTTATGGTTATTTTCTGCTCTTTGAAATTACAAATGCAAACTTTAATAGACTATCCTGTGCTGTGAACCCCACTAGTAAACACTTTGCAAAGAGTATACACAACCCAAATTGGAAGTCATTAAAATTTCTCCTTATATTATATATATATATTGTGTTCAGTGCAGTATTTTACTAACTATTTGATATGTGTGTAATCAATATTGAAAATAGTTAAATATATCCAAATACAAATAAGGTTTTCATTTTTCAGAATATAGATTAAATTAGTGAACAAATTAACCATTAGGGTTGATAATAACTTTAAAAAATATTTTTGTCAAAATGAGAAGAATTCTACCCATGAAATATGTGGTTATCTTATTTTTTATTGTTATAAAATTTTGCTTGGTCATTTCACTCATATAACACCTGTCTATTGCTAGATTATTGGTTATTGTCACTTATATACTTGAGGCCCAGTGGCTACCTTGGTTCTTAAGGATTTTCAGAGTAATATGTAACTTTTTTGTCTTTTCTAGAGTATGGAAAAATGAAACAAACAATACCAGCACTTTCAGAGTTTTACCTCATCCTTCCTTTGTTTACACGGCTAAATTCCATCCGGCTGTAAAAGAGCTAGTGGTTACAGGATGTTATGATTCTGTAATACGGATATGGAGAGTTGATATGACAGAGAATCCTGCCACATTGATACGACAGTTTGACACCCACAAGAGTTTTATCAACTCTCTCTGTTTTGATACTGAAGGTATGTTAGATAATATGCTTTAAATGTAGGCTAGTTGAATGAAGATTTTATTATTGTGCATTTATTAGGATAGCAATTATTTACTTGAGAGATTTTGTGTATTGATGGTTGTTTGGCATATTTAGATTCACCCTTGTTTTGTCGGTCACATGGTAAACCCAGGGTATACATTAGGTAACTCAGAATCTGTTTTCTTTATAGTTAGTAATTCTTAAACATTTAGATCCCCTTAATCATTGCTATAAGCAGCAAATCTCATAAATATGTTTCACGGGATTGGTGTTTATCATCTTAGATTTTTTTAAAAGGGCTTTTTAAGTTAAAGAGTAAAAATGAGGAGATAAGGGGAAAATACCAAAGCAATATTGAAAATTTTTATTTAAATTGAAGCAACAGCATTTAAAAGAACTTTAGAAAAAAAGAGAGAGAAAAACTTGGATTTATTTATTTAAAGGTTTCTCTTGGTATATCAATAATAGATGATACTGTTTTGCAAATATAAAAACAGATCATTTTATTAGCTTAAAGAATAAATCAATTTATAACATATTTGTCAGTTTTTACATTATTTCAGGTAATGTGGGCTATTTGGGCTACAGCTGTTGTTAGTAGGGAATCCAGATCAAAATGAAACCTTCTGATACATGCAGTTCAAGTCCAGATGCTAGTCAATTGCAGTACATTCAGAAAAGGTCAGTCGAGGACGGGAAGATGTTTGAGAATACTGTCGTAATACCAAGTAGAAATTCTCAGACTGTAAAAGAGAGATGGGGAATATCTTCACTTATTTGATTGTAAGATACCCAATTGTGAATAAAGAAGAAAGCCTCCTATATTACTCCAGTAGATAGAGGTGAGAGCTACAGAAGACAGATTTTCTTTGCTCAGAATTAGAAAGAACGTTCTCATACAGAGAATGCTTCATCAGTGGAATGGTCTGCTTTGCAAAATGTTAAATTCACAATTTATTAACAACCATCTATTAGTGAAAAGATGTTTCTGAATGGGTATGAAGTTGGACTTGGTGATCTCTGATGTCCTGTCCAGCTGTAAGATGGTTTAGCTCTAAGAATTAATGTTATTTTGGAACACCTATTATTTATTTATTTTATCTTCTGATTATTTATTGAGTTCCTACTGGATGTTAGGCATTATGTTACCAGTATATAATACAGATGTTTTTCCAAGAATATAAAGTAGATTATATTGCCTAATGAAGACAAGGGATGCAGGTATATATTGGATTAATCAGATAATTTCTTTGACTTTGGAATATGAGCCATATAGACATGGACTGAGATGCTCATTTCTTTTGTATTCAAATCCAGGTTACGTGGCAAAGGGGAATAAATAATCATAAATAATTCAAGAGAGTGACCAATTAATTTAAAGATAATTGAGACTTGAATATAAATTATGTTTGTAGTTTGTTTTAAAACTGAAATACCTTTTAGTAGCCCTTCAGTTCTTTGACTGTTTTTCTGGGATGTAGTTTCCTAACTTCATGTTATTTGCTTCTCATTCTGTGCAACATTCACGAATGAGTATTTTTCAAATAGGTCATCACATGTATTCAGGAGACTGCACAGGGGTGATAATTGTTTGGGATACCTGTGTCAAAGTGAACGATGTGCAGCATTCAGTGCGTAACTGGAGTGTCAATAAGGTAAAAAGTTGTACTTCATATTTTGGTATTTCACTAGAGAAATTGAAAAATGACCTTAAAATCATGTCAGGAAATTCTGGTCTCTCTTTAAGAAAATAAAATAACAACGGTTTTCTCAGTCGCTGAAAAGTCAGTTGTCAGGTCTTCCTGGTTACTTATAAACCTGAGGGATTGGCAAGGCTCCAAAGGCACCAGTTCTAATTATTTGAGAATATAATGCAGAGTTTATTGTTTGTTATAAAAAGAATGTGTTTATTTACTATAATATAGTAACTGATATGTTTTGTAACTTACTGAAAATTTTCTTCATTTTGATCAAGCTTTGCCTTCATTTTTTGAGCTCTGATCTGTACTGTGGTGTTCAGTGATCCATTAGATGAAAGTTATGCTGAAAATGAGGTGTATGTTATATTACTGTCTGTGAGTAATAACACTTTCTGCTCTTCATATCCTTTTTCTTCAATGAATAACATCTCTGTAAAATTTCTGTGCTCAATGTTTTTTCAGCAGTGTTGTTTTTCAGAGTTAAGTAGTTACAATTGGGTTTGTTATTTAGTCACAATAATTGTTTCATTTGAAATTTGCTAAGTAGGGAGAAACAAATTAATAACCTCTTTCATTTTATGGATAAAGTGTTTTTTTATTTTTTATTGTAAGAGTTTGTTTTACATTCAACATTATGTGTACATTTAGTTTCACTCCCCATGTACCATGCCCAACCCTAACCCAGTCTCCTCCCCTCCCTGGCCAGTAACCCTCCCCTCGTGCCCCTCCTAGTTGTGCACTCCTGTTTGTCCTGCATTTCCTCCATGTGAACGTTGCCCCTCTGGTGCCCTGTGGTCATTTGCTCCAAGGGATGCATTTCCGTGGAGTATGTGGGTGCGCCACCTGGGTTAAGTGCTCTGCTTGTATATCTTGTTTACTGTTGAGCTGAGAGCCAGCCGCTGAGAGTGAGCTTTATTCCAGGCCAGAGTGTATCCTAGGACCATAGTATTGGGAGTCTCACCAGACTCCATCCGATCAGTAATTCTGGTCATTATTGATTTTTTGGATTTTGTTCCACGTTTTTCCTCCCACTCTATCCAGGATCTCCAGATTTGATCCTTTTCTGAGTGGTTGGCATTGGTAGCCAGGCACCATCTAGTTATTCTGGTCTCGAGGACTATCGTGTCCTAGGGCTGATTGCTTCCAAATGCCTTTATTTTTTATTTTATTTTATTTTTTATTTTTTGCTCTCTTCTTCACTTCTACAATAGGACACCATTAGCTGCATCTTAGATGGCCACTTGAAAGCTTTTAAGACCCTAGTTGCTACTCACCAATGTAGGATGAGGAACAAAGCTTTTTTGTATTTTGTTGTGCCAGTTGAGTCTGGTGTCCCCCAGTACTATGATCCTGAGATGCTGGATCCCTTGGATCTCTCTCTCACAGTGTCTTGAGTGTCTGTGAGGGATTACTCTATGTCTGTCTTCTGCTGGTTCTGTGAGGATTGCAGGTATTTTGTATCACTGGTGTCTGTGCAAGATTAGCCTGTGCTGAGTCTATCCCTGGTCTAGAGTATACTCCTGTTCACTGACCCCTGATCTGATCCTCTCAAGTGTTTATGTGTTTATCTGTAGCCTGGTGTTTGGTGTTAATGGTAATGCAGTATTGTGGGCACACTGGTTGGTATTAGCATCTGTCATCTATCTCCTATGTGCACAATGGATAAAGTGTTTTTAAGGTGACTTGTGTTTCGAACAATTATGATGGTGTATATTTTCTACATTTGGTTAAGAAAATAAAATGAGTCGTTAATCTTGAATTTGTTTTCTGTAAATGGGTATAGTTTCTCCATTACATGTTAAATCTGTTCTTAATTTTTCATAATAAATTATGACAATAGTTGTTCTAGCTTGAGGAAGGCATTCTAAGTGTAAAGAATTTCTGTGAACTTTAATTAAATCTATTGAGTCTATCATATCTGTTTTAAAAACAGTCTAATATATTCTATTTTTAGTTATTCTCATCTGGTCTGTCAGATGAATGAATGTTGTCTTCTTGTAACCTGATTTTATGCACTTTGCAAAAACTTGTCTAATGACTTATAAACCTGAGGGATTGGCAAGGCTCCAATGGCACCAGTTCTCATTATTTGAGAATATAATGCAGAGTTTATTGTTTGTTATAAAAAGCATGTGTTTATTTACTGTAATATAACCAGAAGACACATTTATCTTGATAATCTGCAGCTTGATGATTACTTCAGATGGTCAGCAATAAGTTAGGAAATGAGCTGGCTTGTCTTCTGAGTGGCAGAGGGTCCCAGAGTGTCACAGAGTAAGCTGGAGACTGCTTGCCTTCATCCTTGGTGCTGTTCAGCCAGCAGTGTGGGCACGGCTGTCATACTCCTTGTCTCTTAAAGGCGACACATCCATGTGCTGTTTCACACATTTCTTGGGCCAGGCCACTGGCTTCAAATCAAGGACATTTTTTTCATTCTGAGAATGAACATGATGAAGAAAAAATACGGAGAAAATCACTAATGTATCGTACAAACACTCGATCTGCCAGCAGCCTCCTCAAATTTACACCTAACACTTAACTTGTTAGGCAGTTTTGTTTTTGATTTTCCACGTTTGCATCTGTGTAAGTGTTATTCCAGTTGCTCATACCCCCAACAGTGCTTCCCTCATTCCCAAATTCTTTCAGTGCTGCTCAGTGAAATCCCCATCTGTGGTGTCAGTGTTTGACTTCTGTAACTTTAAAAAAATAGCTGACAGCAGTCTGAGTGTAAACAGCTGCAGCAGGGGCTCAGCTGCTTGTATCAGGGCTACAGCAGTATGGTAGCACACTGCTGCTAATCAACCCATCTGTGAACAGGAGACCCTGTAGGAGCAGGGAGCAGAAAGCAAAAAGGGGATCCCTGGACTGAGAGAGTTAATTCCGAATTCTGCCAACAGTCTAAAGCAGACAGACTTTCCTTTGACTATGAGGACTGTAGCTGAAGCAATTTTGCAAGTTGTCCTCTTTTTCTCAGAAATGCAAACGAGAGAATTTTGGTAATTCTTCCAGTGGAAGACTTGTGCAGGCAGGTACTTCTTCAGTGTCTAGGTCTTTCTTGACATCGTTAGTTGGGCATCTTTTATAGCTGCTTTAAGTAACTATCAACAAAATCTAAAAAACTGAAATTACAAGTTAAATTATTTCAGAATGAGATTCTGATAACTTACCTCTTCCAGGATGAATAGACGTGTATGGCTAAAGAATTTGAAATTGGGGTAGAATTTGAAAGTTAATTCTGTACTTACTTTTGAATTTATGAAAACTGGAAGCTGCAGGACTAATTGCTTCATCTATCCTTAGACCAGAGCTAAATGATGCCCAGCTCCCACTACCAACTGTTCTGACCAGGGACACAACAGATAGAATGGGAGAAAATTATATAAAACTCAGAGGTTTTTGTTGGGGGTGAGGGGAAGGCCAGGCTTATGGGACCAGTAGAGGAATCCCTGGGATACCCTTTAAGCTTTGAACTGAAACTGCTCCCAGAGGTTACCTTTCACCTAAGATTGGCTCAGAAAATAAATATCACTGGTGAGTACTGTACTACTTAAAAAAAAAAAAAAAAAAAAAATAGAAAAGTATATGAGACTAAATGGTAAACATTTACCCTAAACCTGAGATGAGAAGGTGTTGGGGGGCGGGTGTGATGTCCAGAAAAGCTAAATTAATGGAAACAGAACAACCAGAATGGATATAATGAGACTGTGATACAATGTGGAAAATGTAACCAATGTCACTAGACAATATGATAGAAATTTTAAAATGAGAACCTCATTAACTGTATAAACTTTTAACAAAAAATAAAGAAAAAAATGGAAAAAAAATCAAAGCTTTCTTCCTTATATGATGATAAACTAAAAAGTGAATGTTAGAAGATGGGTTTGTTAGAAGTGCTTCTGGTTTGGGGACTGATTAATTTTGCAAAAGTGAATATCCTACAAAAACACTAATTAAATAGGGCACTACATAGCAACAGACAATATAATTTGTGCAGATTTATTTTTAACTCTAAACTGAAGTTACTGATTGATCATCCTTTGCTAACAGTTTTACAGCCAAATTGAAAATGAATTTTAAGTTTTGCAGTAGACAAACTTTTCCACAGTGATATTTTGTAACTTTTTAAAAAATCATTTTAGGAAATTAAAGAGAGCGAGTTTAAGGGGATTCCAATAAGCTATTTGGAGGTTCATCCCAATGGAAAACGTTTGTTAATTCATACCAAAGATAGTACTTTGAGGATTATGGATCTCCGAATGTAAGTATATTCAGTATTTACAATATTTACAAAATTAAAAAAATAAAAAACGTATATGAGACCAAATGGTAAGCATTTACCCTAAACCTAAGATGAGAAGGTTTATATACATATCCATACACTAAGTAATGGATTAATTCATATTTATAAAATGCAGCAGCAGTGGTTCTCAACCACGGGCAGTTTTTCATCCCCAGGGACATCTGGCAGTGTCTGGAGACATCTTCGACTATGGCTGCAGGTATCTGGTGGTTAGAGACCATGGATACTGAGAAGCATCCTACCATTCATAGAACAGCTTCCCACAACAAAGAATCAGCTTGCTCAAGAAGTGAACGGTGCTGATGTTGAGAAACCCTAAAATGCTGTCAGTTGTTTTTAACTTTCACAATTAAAAAAAAAGAAACTTCTACCTTCATCTGTGACGGAAGTCTTTTATCTCTGTGATAACTACATGGCATAGTATGATAGCTTCCCTGGATGAGAGGGCTTTTGATGAATACAGCCTTGTTTTACTTCTTTAATTCCTAAATAAGGTACATGAGAGGGAAATATCTTTAGTAGAAGAAAAAAGCAGATTCTGGAAAGCCAGCATGGACTCCCAGTGTGCTTTGGTTTGGGTATTAAGATTCCTGTAAAACAAATGAGAGCGAGCTATTTTTTCAGACCCAATGTTATTAGCTGTTTCATTTCTAACCATTACTCTACTGAGAAAGTCAGTATGATCATCTATATTAGTTTAATTCTACAAAGACCTTTTTAGGCTTCATTGTTAAGCCCATCAATATTTAAATATTTAGGTAGAACATTTATGTTATATTCAAGACACTGGCATGAGTACTGTGGGAGAATGACAGGATTAGCACAACAGGAGTTTATAATCTAGTTGTTCACCCCTGAAATAAGACATAAAGCATTTAATTAGACTAAAGTATGACATAGTCTAAGACTGGAATTTGCTTATTCTTTTTTCTGTACATAGCCCTCATGTAGTACCTGGCAGATAGCAACCATTCAATTATGTATTTAATTTATAAATATATGATAAAAGGATTTTGTTTTTGTTTTTCATGGCTGCAGTAAATCTGACAGCTTTTAAAGGCTCTGTGGAAATGTTTGGCCTTTGAGTTTGATCTTGAAGGATTAGTAGAATTTGGACAAGAGGAGACCAAAGATGGAACTTTTTTCTATGGGATGGAAATAAAATTCAGTGTTGGGGTAATACAAGATGTATTTAGGGCAAAATGAGGTAGCCTATGTGAACATAACTTTCTTGATGAGGGGTACTGAAAGAAATGTTTAGAACTTCTGTGATTTAAGCTAGATTTCAGGAGGTCAAGCTAAGACTTTGGTTATTCTCTTTTAAGTTATATATACAGCTTATGACCATGCTGGGGCTGTAGAAAATACTGTTAAGATTCACATACTACATCTTGCACCTCGTACTGGTTGGTTAATTTTTCTGTGCCTCTCTTTCTTCATCTCTCAGGTAAGAGAGTAATATATTGAACTCATCAGGTTTTTGTGGGGATAAACTAATTAATACATGTAAAGTACTTGAGTAAAGCACATAGTAGAGGGGCCAGACATGTTTGACCCAGTAACCCCAGGTCTGGGAATTTATCTTAAGAAATCATTGTAAAACAGTGTAAGCGTACATACATAAAATTCTTCATAGAAATCATGTTCATGGTAGAGGAAAGCTGGCAACATCTTCAGTGCTGTCCAATAACAGAAGAGTGTTTAAGATACATTTAAACAATGATATAATATATACCCACTTAAAATAATAAAGTACAGTCTTTATTTTGTGACAGAGAGGGCCATTATTCATGATTTATCATTGACTGGGAAAAAAAAAAAAAAGTTACAAAGCAGTGTGTATAATAGGCTCTCTGTAAACCAGAGATGCTGATGGTACCCACTGGGCACGTAGCATGAGAGTATGCACTGTTGCTCACAAGGGAAAATGTCTAGAATGTTGTGCACCCTATTTAATAGATGATTTCAATAGTTTTTCTTCAGAAATCAACTAACTACTTATGTCATTTTAAAATTTCATCATATGGAAGGAATATAAAAATGCTATCCATTTTTTCAGAAGGAAGGTTGGGCAATCTACTTCCATAGTGATACTGCCTTGGCACCCCAAGGAAGGGTCGCTATGAGTTGGGTCTGACTTGACAGCACATAACAACAACAACATCCATTTTTTAATAACCAACTCAAATGGTACTTCCATAAAGTAATCTCTGATCTCAAACTAGAATTAATAGCTCCAAATCACTTCGTGTGTGTGTGTGTGTGTGTGTGTGTGTGTGTGTGTGTTGGGGGGTCACTTTCTACATCTGCTTTGTGTTTTCCATTGATGCGTTTCTTCCTCTCAGAAACTTCTTAAGCTCAGGGACTATCTTTTTTTATCTGCATCCATCACAGAATGTCTGCCACATAACAGATAACTCAAAATATGTTTGTTGATCTTCAATGAAGTATTTAAAAGAACCATTTTTCTGTCATCACTCTTTTAAATGTGTAAGACGGATCACATTTGTAAAATACCTTTTTGTTTACAGATTAGCAGCAAGGAAATTTGTAGGTGCTGCAAATTATCGGGAGAAGATTCATAGTACATTAACACCATGTGGCACTTTTCTCTTTGCTGGAAGTGAGGATGGTATAGTGTATGTCTGGAACCCAGAAACAGGTAAATATTTAATTAGTCATCAACAATTTTTTTTCTTTGATTTGGGTTTTTGAAGACTTGTAAAAAGTCATTTTATGGAGTGATTTTCAAGAAAATTCTTAGTTCAGATTTTCAATTATGTATTTTAAGATTAGAGGGCCAGTAAATAGACTCAACTGCATACAAGCTTATACTAAATTCATTTCTTTATTGTTTTCCTGTATTCACTGATTTAGAATTTCACATGGTAATCAGAGCTGATCCTTTAGTTACCTATAATGCGATATTGTCGATTTCAGGGAATTATTTAATGAGGATTATAATGCAAAAACAAAACATTATAAAATGAATTTGGAATATAGCTTGGTCTCCAAATGGCTAAACAACCTCTATATATTTTCATTAGAAATGAAAACATTCCTGTTAAAGATGCCTGAAACTTAAATAATTTACCTGAATTACTGCATTCAATATTTTTCCCACTAAAATAAAACAAACTCTTGACATTGAAATATTTATTTGTGCCTCATCTTTGTTTTCAAAAGAAATATAGAACTACGTGAACTTTTTTTAAGTAATAAATTGGGAGAATTTTGTCAAATTCACTTAACATTTTTTTAATTAACAGTATTTGATATAGCCTTGTTCATTCTCTTGACTTTTCCTTTAGGTACTCTTGCCCAGTTACTTAAGCCTTTTTTTATACTGATTTTGTGAGACACACCATCAAGTTACAAGTGTTCTCTCTCTCTTCCCATTCAATATAGGTCTAAGTTCTTTGCTTTTTCTCATTTCCTCACTAATATACAAAGAGCTCTGGTGCACAGTGCCTACCTAAGGCATTTGGCTGCTGGCGTTTGGCAGTTCAAACCCAACAGCTACTCTGGAGAAGGAAGATGTGGCAATCTACTTCCATAAAGATTTACCACGTTGGCAACCCAATGGGGGTCGCTATCAGTTGTAATTGACTCAGTGATAGGTTTTTTGTTTTTGTTTTTTTTTTGGTTCCTGACATACATAGCCTTCACAGACTCACAGACCTCTGCTTTAGCCCTGTTTAGGCGCTCTGGTTAAGAGCTCTGGTAGTGTAGTGCCTAAGGCACTTGACTGCTAACCAGAAGGCTGGCGGTTCAAACCTACCAGCCACTCCTCGGAAGGAAGATGGGGCAATCTACTTCCGTAGTGATCCTGCCTTGGCAACCCAAGGAGGGGTTGCCATGAGTCAGGTCTGACTCGACAGCACATAACTACAACAGCAACAGGCACTCTGGTGGCATAATGGTTAATACATTTGGCTCCTAACCAAAAAGCTGACTGTTTGAACCCACCAGCTGCTCCTAGGAACACAGATGAGACAGTCTTCTTCCATAAAGATTTATAGCCCCGGAAACCCTATGGGGCACTCGGTTCTGTCCAATAGCATCTCTGTGAGTCGGAATTAACTCAGTGGCAGTGAGTTTTGGTTTAGGCCTCTTTTAGCCTTTCAGAAGCATAGGTATCTGTTCTGGTTACCTAGTGCCACTCTGACAAGAATATACCATAAATGGGATGACCTTAACAGGAATTTATTCTTACAATTTGGAGGCTTTAAGTCCAAGTTCAAAGTGCCAAGCCCTAGGGGCAGGGTGAAAGCCCCGCAACCTTGGGGTCCAGCTCTGCCTCCTGCTCCTGGCCCACTGGAGCTAGAGGCTTTTTTTTCACTCAGACAGCTGCTGGCTGCTCAGGCTTAGAAACCCAAGGTTGACAAGTAAAAAGGCACAGTCTCGATGTTACCAAACCACACAGCAGGTCATTAATTTAAGTCTATTGTAAGTCCCAAGGTCGACAGAACATAGCAGGCTGCTGAGCAATGACATGGCTACATGCAGGGTCCAAGTGTGCCAAAAGCTAGAGACCATTCTCCAAGGCTTCTGCTTATATACAGGAAGCAGACCACATTCCCTAAGGCAGCTACTCAGCTGCTTGTGGTAGATCCCACCATGGAGTTGATTGCCAGTCTCATCATGGGGAATAACTACTACCAGCTGCCCAGCCACTCAGCCAGGCCCAACCAAGCTGACACACAGAAACATAAACACTACAATTCCATCCCTTGTCAACTTGGCACCTGTATAAAGTAACCCTGTATGGAAACCAACTCCAACCAGAAATTTCTTCAGCTTAGAATCCGGTAATTCCTCTCCTTGCTCCTCTCAAGAGTTCTTTGTTAGTTGGAGTTTGTTCAGCTCTGTCATAACACACAGATAGCCCTCTACTTCTTTGTGGGTTCTTTTTGTCTCTATCTTGTGCCTTGAAAACCTCATTGAAGAGGTTGAATTAAGAAGTAAAAAGAGGAGTGCCTGTAGAATACAATAGAAATAAAAATTTTCAATACAGTACTAAAAATTTACAAAGTGTTTATGGTTTTTCATGTAAATAATAGCTTCATCATTATTTAGTATAAATATTTTTTAATAAATTACAAGATAATCTTGTAATAAGAAATACCTAACACAGTACAAATTATTGAATCTCTCTTCTTTTTAGGAGAACAAGTGGCAATGTATTCTGACCTTCCATTCAAGTCACCCATTCGAGACATTGCTTATCACCCGCTTGAACATATGGTTGCATTTTGTGCATATGGACAGAATGAACCAATTCTTCTTTATATTTTTGATTTCCATGGTAAGTCCACTGCTTGCTAAGTAAAGAATATTTAATCTGCACAATTAGACTGAACTAAGAATCATGAATTCTATGAAAGCTGTCATCCTTTGTAAATTAATGAAACTTTCTTGAATATACTCTAAGAATTGAAGAGATTAAATAGATCATATTATTATTGTGCTATTACATTTTATATTTCCATTAACATGATTAGTATTGAATATAAATATAGGCAAAAGTCCACACAATTATTGTTTCTTACATTGGAATTGTAGAAATGTAGCCATCATTTTCTTTGTAAATCATTTTAAGTAATTAAAATTCACCTAAAAAATATTTGGAAACATTTTAGCTAAATTTTAAAAATACTTTTTATATTTGTGGAAATAGGGGTTTTTAATGTTATCAGTGGGAGCTCTGGTGGTGTAGTGCCTAAGGCATTCGACTGCTAATCAGGAGGCTGGTGGCTCAAACCCACCAACCACTCCTTGAAAGGAAGGTTGGGCAATCTACTTCCATAGAGATATGCCTCGGAAACTCAATGAGGGGTCACTATGAGTCAGATCCGACTCGAAGGCAGTGACTTTGGTTTTTGGTTTTGGTTTAATGTTATCAATTGAATAGTGAGTAATTTCTTATGCTACATTTTTGTTTTTCCAAAAGCATATAATTTTAGTAAGTGGTAATTTGGAGAGTTTCTTAACATAAAGAAAGGCAAAAAATAAAATGAAAACATGATCTGGAATAAGAAATTTAAGGTCTTTTCCTGCTCTAGTATTACATTATCCTATCATTCTGAGAAATAAGAAAAAATAAGAAGTTGTACACATTTTTCATAAGTCATATAGCATTTGAAGAATAATTTTTTATACTGGTTTTCATATATTTTTTAAAATTTTTGTACTGAAATTAGAATTTTATTATTCTGCATTGTACTAATTGTGTGGTTGCTTTCAAAATTGCAACTCCATTTTCATATATTAATTCTTGCACAAAACAGTTGATTTGCTTAGATTGTCATCCTTCACTGTTCTTATAGGCTGAAAAGACTTGCACACATACCTACACAAACATTAGAAATGCATAAATGCATATACAGATAATATTTGAAAAACAACAAAAAAGGGAGCTCTGGTGGCATAGTGTCTAAGGCATTTGACTACTAACCAGAGGGCTGGTGGCTCAAACCCACCAGCTGGCTATTCCTCGGAAGGTAGACTGGGCAGTCTACTTCCATAGTGATTCCTCCTTGGAGAACCAAGAAGGAGTTGCTATGAGTCGGAATCGACTGTGGAGCTGATTGGACAAAGTGTTTTAAATTAATGAAGTATCAAAAGTTAAGTTTATTATGTTCAAACAGAATGACTTAGTGCTTACAATAAATGCTGAATTACTAGACAATTGGGGTAAATCATAAACCTGAAAGTCTTGATCACTGTATGGATTACATTATGCCTTTCCGGGTGAATTATATTAGAAAATAATGTATAAAATTGAAATTTATCTTATTTGAAAGAGCATTGAGAAGAAGTAATTAATTTTACAACATACATTCAGATTTGCAGGGCATTATTACTATAGGTGGAATTGTTAAGCGGCCCAGCACCATTTGCTGTTCCAAGCAAATGTTAGTGAGAATAAGCACTGCCTGATTGTGGGAAACAACACCCGAATCTCTCCAGGATCCAAAGTCCAAATCTGATGTCTAGTTCAAACATGGCTCCTCAAACAGCTCTTTCTTTGTACTCTGAATCTTCATATAAAAGGAGAGAGTTATGCCTAAGTGCTTTATAATCAGGACTGTTACACAGGAAGCAGCCAGCCAGTTATTTCCTCAGACTCTTCAGAGGTTAGAGACAATTTCACAACACTCTTCATTGAGATTCTAATTTGCTTTTTAGGCTTTTGAAATATTCACTACTGCAAGTTAAAATTCCACTCTTTTTCTTCAAGCAGTTTAGTGTTGACATTGACAGAAGGATTTCATAATTAGATCAGCGCAGGAGGGTTAGGTTTATTTAACAATTTGTTTCTGGACAGTAGAAATTGAGTCTAAGAAGTCCATTCTAGAGGAGCAGTAGAAAGAGAGGAGTGTTTTAGGATCAGTTTTGTTTACTTCAGTGACTTTCCATAAGCCTGTTCTCTTCCCAAGACTTCATTTCCTTACATATTAAATGGTACTGCTAATAATTGTGTCCTATCTAGAAGAGTTATTTGTGAGGGGAATATAAGAGAGTAACTGTGAAAGTGCTTCATAAGTTGATAAGTACTATATTAAAACAAAACACAAATAACAAAATGTATAAAATGGTGTTGCCAGGCTCATCTAACCAGTACATACTTGACTTTATAGGAACCGGTATTTTAATAGGCTGATAAACATCTTCATAAGGACTTGAGGGGGAAAAATAAATTACAGATTTTTTTTCTTTCTCTTATTCTTTATTAGTCAGCTTTTTCCTTTTATTTATTGAAGTGAATGCCTTTTCCAGATAAATTTTGTTGGAAAATAAATGCATAAAGTTAAGACCATAATGTTATAGCTGTACTCTCTTAAAGTGAAGGAAGAAGGATTTACATAAGCATTTTAGTAGTGAGAAAGTTCAAGTAACACACATGAAATTAAAATGATTTTGTGCCAAGTATTTAGAACACAATATTTAATATCCTGACATATCTTTTCAAATAAATTAAACCCAGTGTGTTTCAACACATTTTCCTCTTTACTGCCTATTCCTAAATGAGGAAACTTAGGGAGAAACTAAGTAATCTCAAGAAATCCAAGATATAGTACAGATTTTGTGAGTGGCATATATCCCTAAGAAAATCAAAAGTTGTTTCAGGCCATAGTTTTACTCATTGCTACAAGGGGCATGGAGGACACATCTTCTGACCTCCTCTAACTACACAAGAGGGAGGCACAATCAGCAGCAGCGGCCCAGGGCCTGTTCTTAGGAGGCCAGACATGCCACCACCCTCCAGCCCTCTTACCAACCTTGTCACCAACCGTCCCTCCCACGACACCTACCACCTCTCTGCTGGGCTTGATAATTCACTGCAATGGCCACAGCAAACCAAACACTGCTGTCAAGTTGGATCTGACTCACAGCGACCCCTCCTTGGGCTTCTGAGGTGGTATCACTATGGAAGTAGATTGCCCAACCTTCCTTCCCAGGAGTGGCTGGTGGGTTTGAACCACCAGCCTTCTGGTTAGCAGTCAAATGCCTTAGGCACTACACCACCAGAGCTCGCAGTGGCCACACAGAACTCAGATTATGGGGTGTATTTGGGAAGCAACAGGCTACAGTTCAAGTTCAGGAATGCACTCAGTCTCTCTCAGCTGGCTGTCTCTCTCAGTAGCATCTCTCTCTCTCTCCCAGCAGTGCATGTGTCTCGCGTCTCTAGGCAGCGTGTGTCCTTCTCCCATTTCTGTCTCAGCAGCACATCTCTCAGCAGTGCATCTCTCTAACTAGCAGTCAGACTCCTTCTGCTGGTAGGCAGGCTCCTTTTGAGCCTGGCAGAGTGGCCAAAACCAACCAATCCCAACAGAATTCTGCACACCTGAGAAAGAGCAAACTTCCCAGGAGACTGCTTCTTGGTGCACTATAGAAATACACCAGGTGGATAACTTTAACCATCAGCTACTCATTTGCTCATGGCAAAGTGGAAGTTACAAAGATTGTGGTTAGAAAAGCCATACCATGCCATATAATTTACTGCACTGCACTCATCAAAGGCAGACCAAAATTATCAAGTCAAGCAGTCTTCAGATTTTTCATTAAAAATTATAATATTTGTTATTGACCTATTACAGTTTTGCCTTCTATTTTACTTATTTTTAAATATAGGAATCTTTTGCCCAGACTTTCTTTATATGAAGGTAGAGTCTACATGTGCCTTTACAAAAATTTTTTAATGGTACAAAATTCAAAATATATGCAACAGTTGTATGGTTTTAAATGTTATTCTTTGAAGACTAGATAAAGTAAGTAGCTGGCAAATCAGGTGTCAGAGGGCTGATGCTTCATTGACTTTAGGTAATTTTCAAGGAAAATGAAGCAAGCTCTTTTTTTTTTTCTTAATGTTAATTAAACTGCGAATGAGACCACAGTGGTAGCTAAATGTATCATCCATTTTTCAGTTCTAGCAAAATCTGTGAAGAGTCAGCAAGCATCTTTCCCTGTTAAGCGTATGTTCAAGTTGTGGTCTTTTGAGTCTTTCATTCTACTGACTTTTTGCTTTTTTTGGTAAGAAACATGCTTTTTACTTTCAGAAGGCAGTTGTATTTGCCTGGTGTTGAAAGGGTTAATCATATAGGAATACAAAATTTAGTCACAGAGTACCACAAATAATGTTCTTTTAGGATTCCCATAATAACAGAGTGCTAGTCAGAGAAACGGCTTCTACTGAATTAAATTTACAAAACTAAACTTTAGCAGTCAATGTCTTGTTATTAATCAATATTTGTCTACGTTAGTCTCCAGTATGCTTTTCTCCATTTAATATAATCATAGGTGATACTTACATAGCACTTTCTCTGTTCTTTGTCCTGCTTTAAATATTTTACATACATTCTTTAATTTTCACAATAAACTATCTTTACCCCCATTTAACAGAAGCCAGCTAGTCTTGGAGTCTGTTTTACTGTACTGCCCTGATTTTTGAGCAGACATTCCTGAAAAACTAGTTTTTGATGGTCTAATAAGCAAACTTTTCTTTTGGTCTTAGAATACCATTTACACTGTTTCTCCATGTAGTAGTGTGATTCCTTTGTATTTCCTTTACTTTGTAGGAAGCAGAGATGGCGCAGTATTCATCTTTTTTATTACTAGAACCTGTCCTGAATACTGACATTGAATGAATGTGCATATAATATTTTAAATAGTATCAAGTTTTAACTTGGGAGGTTCTCAGCATTTAATAACCCCACGTAATGAGCCTGATCTGTCACTAGGTGGCAGTAGCTCCTCTGAGTCAGTGTTTAGTCCAGAGTGCTTTATTGTCACAGTGCCTTAGAC